TTGCACTGCTGCTTGCTAGGTTATACACATTGAATGCATATATTAAATAGAGCCCCTTTTATTATTCCCAACCCAACAGAACATTGGAAAGAAATTACGCAAGGGGCTTAAGAAATCAGTGCATCATCAGGATAGTTCTCAAAAAGTGAACAGAATGAGACCAGTAGTGTGGTGGAAGAAGTTAGCAAAAGTAAGATCAAGTCTGAAAATAAACCAGATGTGGCTGGGAATCGCAGAGGAAAAAAAGCCAGAAAGAAATCCCCCGGTGCATCCTTATAGGAGCCACATTCGGGTGGTGGTTCGAGATGCTGCCTGCTCCTCGCATCCCTTCCCTCTTGGTCAGACGATTCAGGGCAGAGCTGCTCTTAAGGGCTTGGAAGGAATTCTTGAAGCTAGGCTCTCCATGCATTGTCTACCTCTTTCCCTTTAAAAGGGAGTCTTGCTTTTATGTCTTTTGCCTGCCCCTTCTCCCTGTTAAAGATGAGGTGGGCTGCACCTAGCCTGTTGCCACTTGCGTTATGAGGTAATCTGCAAACAAAAAGTAAGTCTATTTAAAACCGGTGGAAGGCAGATAAATGAAAAGTTTGCACGTGCACTGCTGTGTTTTCAGACATGTCTTTCGAGGATTTCCATGGCTTAAGGATGCATGATCTTGATCTTGTGTCTTGAGCTTCAAGATGCCCTAATAAATGAAATGAGGCTTCATTTTTAAAGGCACCTGGAAAACACAGCATCAATAGGACAGAGAGTTCATATAAGCATCTAAGCTGAACTAGCAAATGTATTTTCAAAAAGACTTCCCCACCGATTTTGATTGCTTGGTTTAGCCTTGGTTCTCACGCTTGCTGTTTGATATCCATGTTTGTGAAAGTACAAAGACGAAGACTGTCTGTTTTGGTTTGTTGAATGTTTGGTGTTTAGTGTATTCAAAGCATGCCCTTGTATTCTCTTGAGAATGATCTTTCAGAGGGCATATCTAAATCCGGTTCTGTTGGTTTGGGTAGTTTGTTAAGCTTTCTTGAGCTCTCTGCGCACTCTCTTGTACCTTGATGATGTGTTTCACAATGTACTTGCTGAAAATGCATGCTGGTTTTTCAGTCCTGTTGGAGCTTCAAGATAAAGCTAGGAATGTGTATTTTTTTTATTTAGTTTACATTTACATGCTCTCATACATAACAATATGTGGTAGCTGTTTTGTTTTTTCCTGCTTCGATGTTTTAAAATACAGTGCAGGCAGGCTTTATTTGCTGGCCTTAACATTGTTATTTTTATTTGTACAAGAGTCAAGCAGTAACTGAAAACAGCTATTTCTGGATTGTCTCAACTCAAATCATCTCCCTGGCCCTTTTCTCGGTTGGTTGGATATTGGGTAGCAATCAGCATGGACTACCATGCAGCTTACTCTTGTGAATCTGGGGCAAAAGCAAATAAAAAAAGGTTTGTTCTGAGTACCTATTATTTCCTATAGTACCTATTATTTCCTATATCCTTCAAAACATGTGAGAATGCAGCCAACTCAGAATAATTCAGAACATTCCAGGTGGGACCATTTTGTCCCAAGCTCATATGCTACAAGAAATAGGCCATTCTCAGCTTACAGAGATGACCAGCCAGGCTTTATTTCTATATACTAAAATGTTGATATCCAAGATTTTTTTTTTAAAAAAAAGGCCTTCTGCAATTTTATTTTGTTTATATCAAATCACACAAGCTATTGTATTGCTATATTTCTAGTTTCATCCACAAATCTTTTAGCTATTTGATAGCATTCTGGAGTTTGGAAAAGTGGGATATATGTGGTATTAATGTAAAATTTCCTTGCTCTACTGTTTATATGCATTTCAAGGCAAAGCTCTACTAAAGTCACTTGCATTAAATAATTAACATAATTCATGCATGCATAGTCTGAGCTTTATGTCTTTATATAAAATTTAAAGTTTTCGGTGTCCATTTAAAACAAATATAGGTGGGATCATAAATATTGTCACATAGTTAGAATAGAACAAATCCCCACTCTGTCATTTTGTGTTAGTCACTCTTTCTCAGCCTAGATAATCCCCTTCACAGAGTTTTTGAAAGACCATTTCAGAAAATACTTCACTTGAGAGAGAAGAACTTAATAGGGGTCAGTATTGAAAACTGGATTTATTTTTCTTTCTCTAGAGAAAGGGTGTTAATATGTTTATGTTATCAGTTGGATAATTACTGAAGCCATATAAATATTATGCATTTGTTACAGCTTAATCAATGTATATACCATCTTCAGGGGTACTCACAGTCCATATCACATTGATATCTTAATAATAAGTCATAGCTATAAAATTGATAACACTTTAGCAGAGCATTAACACAGAAGAAACTGCAAATGTTTCCATTTCCAATATTCAGTTAAAAAGATAAACCATTTTAATGGGAGCCAGTCATTTTGAAAAAGGACATCATTAAACAATATGTGCACTTTTTTCTCTTTCAGTCATCAACCTTTTTGTAAAAGTAGACTGTCTAATATTTTGACATATGTTATTGTTTCTTTGCTATATGCATTAGCCTCCTTTGGTAATAACACCTTTTCTTTCTTTTTATACTACTTTTTTCTGTTATTAATTTGTTTTGTGTCTTTTCAGAAAGTAATTCTTAGATATATGTAGTTTTAAACTGACATGATCCATTATTATCAATATCATGATACAATTAATTTAATTTACATCTCAGCATTTGATAAGTTGTTTATTATAATTAGATGATAGATATTGTTTTAATATGATGACCCTTTTTTCTATTGCAAAATCAATGGAGCTGTCAACATTGTTTCATATTGATGTAGAAAGGTAGTACATGTGTATCTCTAGAAATCTCTAAAACCAATTTGAGATTATAAAACAATCTTATGTAATAATAGTTGGATAATCTTCTCCCTTTCCATTATTGCTTACGATACCAATGGAATCACAGACTGCTATAATCTGTAATGCACATGGCATGTATCAATCATTTTTCAGTTCCTTTCTGTAATCTGTTTTCAAAAGTACCACAGAGGGCAGAGACTGATCTTGCACTAAAGCAGAGATGGGTGTCAGCATGTAGCATAGGTCTCGTCCTCAGAGCAATTTTTTCTACCTTGCCAAATGTTAATTGATGCAGTCGATTAGAAGCCAAAGCAGGAGTTTCACTTGGAAGGAGAAGAAGCAAAGAAACATGTTTTATATAATTTCAGACATAGAACACTTCACATGCAATGTGAAATAATTGTAACTAATTTGCCCGAGGAACATGGTTGATAAACCTTGAATCCAGCTTGTCCATCTTGTTTAACTCACCACTCATTTTCCATTATTGTAGTTTCATCCTCCAGCATTCCAGTCCTCCAATCCATGGCTGGGAAAAAATAATAAATCCCTTTGCCACCAGATGCCTAACATAGAGGCCTTCCTCACATCCACTGTCTTTGCCCCTCATCATCATAACATTCATTGTGCTGTGCAACACCCTGCAACTGTCCTCATTTTCCCCTTCCTGTGTTGGCCAACACTCCCTCCAGCCAATCAGTGAAGGGAGTACCACAGCAGAAAACAGCTGGCACAATGGTCTAAACCTTAGTTTTCACCTTGCCCCGTTTTTCAGTGAGGAAAGAGAAAGAAAATAAGCTGAGGAAGTGGCAAGTCGGTCCTCATTCAGCAGGGACAACTAGGGCACCTTGGCTTCTGCAGGTTAAGGAGGGAATCCCAGAGGTGGGACAACTCAGGAATTCTCAACATCCAGAAGTAGCGCTGTGAAACTAGTTCCGTAACATGTCTTCTGGAGCAGAAGCTAATTATCAAGTTAATCAACATGGCTTTTGACGATGGCTGAAAGTACAGAAAGATACCAGATGCACATATCCCTTATATCAGTTCCATTTCAGGTACATTGTTGGTTACTTTTTTAACTAGAAACCGGGATTATGCAAGGAAGAGCAGTCTATTAATGAGCCAGCAAAGAACAAATTAAAATTTGAAAAAGTTTCTTATTCTTAAGTTGTAAAAGTGTCCCTGTAACATGATTTCAGGATATACTAATGAGATTTTTCTTTTACTTTGGTGCATTGCTTATCATGATGATAAGTTATGAATGGGGGAGTAGCACGCTGGTTCAGCTAAGCCAGCTTCTCGTGGCATGAAAGAGGGCCACAGCACATCAGAAGTGGAGACTTTACTCTTCAGACAACTCCTGTTTTAATATTTGTAATAGTGTTTATTCTGTCTTATTTTTAGCATTGCTTATACTGTATTCAAAGGAAGAGTTTGTAAAATAGGAAGAAGGTAGTTACGTATTAGTCTTGCACAATGATTCCCTAAGACACCTCTCTGGTTCTGCCTCTTGGAGGCACAATGCAGTTGTAGCTCCTCTGAGGTTTCAGGCAGCTGCTTTGAATCCTGTATGAATCTGGTTCTGTTTAAGTTAATTTCAGCTGCACAGTACTGTAGATAGTCCTTATCAAAACACTCCATACAAGGAGGGAAGACACCCAATATGATCAGTTGTACTTCTCCCTTCCCCCCTCTCACAGCTTGGCTGTAATGCAGATGAAAAAAAAAAATCTTCCTGGAATCTTTGTGATTTTTTTCCCATGTACCTTATCTCTTTGGTGGGAAGCAGATATATTCCAATTGTGTTGGGGAATAAAGCTATTATGTTCCACTCTGTATTGCTTTCTGAAAAGGACACCGCTCACAACCTTGCACCCATAATGAAATACATGGTTGCATATTTTCAGAATGTCTGCTTTCATCCACAAATTCACTGAAGTGTGGAAACATAGAGGGAAGTTCCCAAACAAATACCTTATTATGTAATCTGATAATGAATACAGTATGAAGCATACTGTGTCATCTCAGGTACACAGACATATTAGAATTGTTACAAGAACTGTTTGTGTATATTTTAATTTATTAAAATTTACGGTCATAGACACACACACCCCCAAAAAATAACCCTATATTTTCTACCTCTTTTATTTTTAGAATATCATTGTTAAAAGATGGAAGCTTCCAAATTGCTAATGTGAGTAAATCAGATGCTGGAAGTTATACTTGCCTGGCAGAGAACAAGTTTGGAAAAGCTAGTAGCACAACTACCTTATTAGTTACAGGTAATTAGATAGCTAATAGTCTTTCACTTGAAAATGATATGAATTGAATAATGTGTGAAAGAGGTATTTTGATTTTGAATTTTCATCTTATTTTAGAATAACATGCTGTACATAGTTCACATGAAATATATAATTTAACATCTTATTAAATTGCTACTAATGCCACATTATACACTGAAATGACTGTTTCTCTGTCTGAGGTGCAGAAATGCCAGAGCAGATGGCATGGAATAGCCATAAAACTGCTGAAAACATCTATTAAACCCAGGGAGGCATGAGGGGTTGGGGAAATTGTAAGAGGTGTCATCAGATGTTAACATTCTGAGGGGAGGCATGAACCTCCCCTCCAGAATCTAGAACAAAGAAATAGCAAAAAAAAAAGGGAACAATATTTTATTTATAACCATGGAATGTTCCAGTAAAGGTTCAAAGACAGGATTTTCTTGCATTATCAGTCAACAGGGAATAGTAGTTGACACCACGGCAGTTTTGACAAAGGGAAGATGCTGTACAGAATTGGAAAATAAAGTGCAGTAGGAGAGAGCAAGGAAAATCATTCACGGAACCTTTTCTATTTACTAAAGAAAATGAAATACAAATTTTAAATATAGTCTTCAAATAAAACAGGAAATTTGCTGCAACGATGTC